AGGTATTCTGCGAATTAAGGGTAATACTATTGTAAGTTGCCTTAATGTAAAACGATGGAATGAATTCAGAATTTGTTGCCAAGCAGTTCTTATGCAAATTTAGTTTTACCTGTTACATTTTAAAACAATTCAACCAATTAAGTCTCTGAAAGCGTTGTTCTGAAAATGCCGACATAAGCAGTTCCACGAACTCTTGTTTATCATGCGTGATTCTATTATCAAATTGACAAAGGCGGAGAAATGTCGGAACCTTTTAGACCTCTTTCCAAAGGTATTTCCGACGAGCCAGGTCACCCGATGTACTTCTGGATTTTATTTGTTGAGCATTCTTAAATAATAATAAACATTAGTTAATTGTTTCTGAAGAAGTTTCAATTTTTTTCAAAAGATGTTTTGCCGTTGTACTGGCAAAACCACAATGTAAAACTTTTTTATTTTTTTTTTGAATTACTTTACTTTTATTACCACAGATTCGGATTTTACAATAAAATATATAGGGTGCCATTTAAAAAATTGTTCGTGACCTTCATACAACCTTGAAAATAAGGTCAAGGTCAAAAAATGTTATCGTCATATGGTTTCCCCCTTCGAACAGAACAACTTTCATTTGCTTCATTTTTATGTAAANCACGTATGACAGATAAATCAATTGGACAGTCAACCCTTTTTACACAAAATAATATGTTAAGTCAAATGGAAGCAGTGGATCTGGTAACAGTACAATCAAAGAAGTTCTTAAATGCAATAGAAGCTATAGAAAGCTGTGACGTCACACAAATCATTAAAAACATGAAAAGCACAAACACAACAGACATTTATGGCTTTTCAGTAAAACTGCTAAAAGAAATAGAAGAACAAATTAGTAAACAACTGGTAGTAGTACTAAACAAATGTTTGACAGAAGATATTTTCCCACTGGAACTCAAACGAGCGAAAGTAATACGAATTAAGAAACCAGGGGACCCAAACGATTGTGGCAAATATAGACCTATATCAATATTACCGGCGATGTCGAAAGTATTTGAAATGGTCATAAAGAGAAGGATAATGGAATATTTAGAGGAAGAAGATCTCATAACCAAATATCAGCATGGGTACATACAAGGCAGATCAACCATAACAGCGTTACTAAATGTTATCAAAAAAATAGCAGATGGTTTTGACCAACAGAAATACACGCAAATAGCCTTTTGTGATCTCAGCAAGGCTTTTGATATGGTACACCACAGAATTTTAAGAGAAAAAATACATAAATATGGCTTTAAAGCTACTGCATATAATTTATTAGCCTCCTACCAGGATCAGAGAGAACAACAAGTGTATTGGAAAGGTATACACTCGGAATGGAAATCTGTGGGGGCAGGAGTACCTCAGGGTTCTGTGCTTGAGCCTATACTTTTTCTGATATATATAAATGATCTGCCAGAAAATGTGAAGGCACTTTCCATTTGTCTCTATGCAGATGACACGTCTGTTATCAACCAAGGAAATGATTTCAGCAACTTAAAAATAAAACGCAAGCATCATTAGCCGATGCAAAAAAATGGTTTGCATTAACAAAATGAAACTAAATGCAGATAAAACCAAAATACTAACTTTTTCTACAAAAAGAGACAAAGACACTGAAATTCAAAAGATAAATTTTCTAGGCATGGACTGAGAAATGCACAAAAGAATGATGAATATTTGCAAGCGTTGGGAAAGATTTTATAAACAGAGACTTATGAAGATTACTTCTTGAAAGATGAAATTTTATATAAATACAAAGATGGAAAGGAGTTGATAGTCGTACCTAAAGCTATGCAAAACGAAGTGATTAGAAAAGCACATGAGATAGGACATTTTGCGGTGACAAAAACACAGGAAATGGTGGAACGAGAGTTTTATATTAAGAAGTTGAAAGACAAAATCAAGAAATGCGTGCAGAATTGTATCTCGTGCATATTGGGAGCCAAAAAAGAAGGAAAAAAGGAAGGACTATTTCACGCAATAGATAAAGGGGATACACCCTTAAGCACCTATCATGCAGATCATTTAGGGCCCTTACCTTCCACCAATAAAAATTATCAATATATTTTAGCAATAATAGACGACTTCACTAAGTTTACTTGGTTATACGGNGGAAATCAAAAACAGAGAACATAAAGCCAGAAAAGGTGGAGCACTTATTGTATTCTGGTGGAAAAACGCAATGCAAAATGACAGGAAGAAATACAAATAATTCTTATGCACTTTGTGACTTACTGTTTATAAACTGCTAGAATACTGCTTGCATTTTAGCTTCCATCATTATTTTTGTTCCATCACACAAGTTGTTGGTCAACAAGCATTATTAATTGTTATGATTATGAAAATGGTCGTCAATGATAATTTTTGAGTTGCAAACATGATACCTTAATGCAGTGTTTTTCAACCTGTGGGTCGCGAAGCCTCTGTAGGGAGGTCGCGAGAACTCAGTAAAATAATCAATAAATTTCAAGGAGGTAGATTAGAAAGAGTTAACAAAATGGTACTTGTTAAGTTGTTTATACAAACACATTAACAAAAAATAAAATCTTCGTGAATCTTGCGCTTGAGTTTGATTGAATTTCTCCCATCGTGAATCCGTTTTTGCAACTTTAAGTATTAAATCGTTTTCCAAATTTAAGCGATTTCTTAGTTTACTTTTTATTTGGGCCATTGATGAAAATGACAACTCGCACAAGTACGAGGTAGAAAATGGAATCAAACACTTCAAAGCCTCGGTTGTTAATTCCGGGTATTCTGTTTTTCTTTTTAACCAAAAGGTATCCAAATTTTCAGACTTGAATTTCAAGTGTAACATCCCATCGACAGATAATTCCAGCAGATTCTCTTTGAGCTTAGTTGCTAAATTTGCCTCATTTATAGCTGCATTTAAAAACGGATTTAAGATCCATCTTTGCCCAGTGTTAATCGATATCTCTTGCACTGAGAAGTAATGACACAACTCTTTCTTCAAATTATCTAACACCATTTTCATACCAGATATATATGAGTTAATGTTTATCTCGCTTTCGACTTCTTCAATGAAAGACTGTGTCGACGAAAATGAATCAAAGTTGTTTTGATTTATAGATGATGACCACAATTAAATTTTTTTTATAAAGCCATGGAGTTTGTCTTTTGCTGTAATGACATTTTCATCCCGCCCTTGAAGACTTTTATTCAAGTTGTTTAATAATTAAAAGCCAATTTCAAAAGGAATTCCGGGTCAGAAATGAATTCAGAGTAATGTGACTTGGCTTGTTGTAAATATACTAATAATTCAGCGCGAAGTTCCACAACTCTGGTCAGTACTTTGCCTTTTGATAACCACCTAACCTCTGTGTGGTAAAGCAAATTGCGGTGTAGTGCCCCCATATCTTCACAAATGATTCGAAACAATCGAGTCTGCAACGCTTTTCCTTTGATAGAATTTACAATGTTAATAATAATATTTAGAACTTGACTGTATTCTTGTGGCAAGGTTTTGGCTGCAAGAGCTTGGCGATGGAGAAAGCAGTGCATCCAACAAGCGTTTGGCATTTGTTCTTTCAGTCTAGCAATAAATCCACTCTTCGCACCAGTCATGGCTTTTGCTCCGTCACTACAAATAGCAATGCATTTTTGTGCCCAATCGATATTCATATCTTGCGTAGCTTCAACGAACATGTCATGCAAGAACTGACCTGTAGCATTTTTGGGAAGTGCCTTGCAAAATAGTATTTCTTCCATCAATATTTCATTGGATTCAACACGCACAAAAGCTACAAACTGCGCACAACCCGCAATATCCGTTGATTCATCAAATTGTAAGGACACAAAAGAACTTTTCTTTATTTTTTCTATGACTTGATCACGAACGTCAGTCGCCATATTGCTTATCGTGCGTTGAATGGTATTGTCAGAGAGAGGTATACTTTTGAGCTTTTCAACCTCTTGTTTGCCAAACATAACCTCTGCTATATCTAAAGCCGCTGGTAAAATCAAATTTTCGGCAATACTGTGAGGTTTTCCTGCTTTAGCCACACGAAAAGCTACTCGATAACTAGCTAGCAACGCTTTCTCATTTAGGTTGGACATTTGTCCTATAGCAGTTTTTTTGATGTTCAAGGCCTTTTAGTTTTCGCTCAAAAAATTCCACGGGTTTATTTTTTCATTAGGATGTTTTGTGTTTAGGTGGCGTATCAACTTCGATGGTTTCATGCTTTCTCTTGACAAAATTTCAAAGCAATTTACGCACTGCGGTTTATTCTCAATCACAGTAAACCCAAATTTCAAATAATTGTCGTCATAAATAACGACAATTATTAAATTTAATTGTCGTACATTTTTGTATGGATTAAATATTTTTAACATACATGAAAAAAAGGGTCGGGGGTCGCGAAATATTTTTTGTTACTAGAGGGGTAGTGTCATGAAAAAGGTTGAAAAACACTGCCTTAAGGTATAGGTAGCATTCAATGGTGTCAATAAAACTTAAAAATTATTATTGTTTTAGTCATCCCCTCATCCATCCCTTTGTCTCCTCACCCCCACAACCATTCTAATCCATCGTTTCCCCTCGCAACATGTCAATATAATTTGATATTACAGTAAAACTGTGCCTTATATATTACCTTATATATATTACAGTAAAACTGTAATATCAAACTGGCTGAGAATGCAGAGTTAATCGAGTTTTACTGGGACTCGCTTCCCCAAGTCACAGAAAAACTTACCTTCTTTCTTGCAACTGAATCGGAAATTCTTAGCATTCTAAGGGGATTAAAGTCTAATGCAGTTGGTGCTGATGGCATAACTACCAAAATGATTTTATTGTGTTGTCCAATTATTACCCTTCTTGTGCCACGTTGTCAATTGTTCTATAGAGCATTCGGTTTTCCCTGATGCCTGGAAGTGTGCCTTGGTGACTCCAATTCCTAAGACAACCAATCCTAGTGAGTTGAGCGACTTGAGCCCGATTAGTATTTTGCTCTTGCTCTCCAAGGTATGTGAGAAGGTCATAGCGGAGAGACTTCGGGGTCACCTCGATGATTTTGGAATTTTGCCCAGTTGTCAGTCTGGGTTTCGTGAGGGTTTTAGTAGTTCTACAGCATTGCTGGGGTTACAGATGAGGTTCTGAGAGCAATTGATAACAAACGGGTGTTGATCTTGGTACTGTTGTATTTTTCCAAGGCGTTTGATCGAATTCACCATGACACTCTGTTAGCTACGCATTACGTTGGTTTATCTTTGGACTCAATTCATTTTATACAAAGTTATTTGTCTAATCGAAAGCAGATTGTAGCGTTTAATGGTGGGAGATCCAACCCCGCGGAAATTTTATCCAGCTTCTTTATTCTTTTAACATGTGCGATTTTGAGACTGCTGAAGCCAATACAAATCATGGTTTACGCAGTGTTGGACAATTTGCTAGTAAGCTTTGTCTTCAAATAAATACCTCAAAATCTTCAGTTATGGTTTTTGGTTACTGATTTTGTTAAATCCAACATGCATTTGGACGTGGCTGGCAAGGAGCTCGGTTTTGAGAGTGATGCCAGGAATTTGGGGATCATTATTGATGAACGTCTTCGCTTCGATGGGCATGTCAAGTCCCTTCTACGGAGAGCCTATTCCACCTTAAAATTGCTTTATAATAATAGATATATCTTGAACCAGAAACTTAGAATAGAGCTTTGTGATGTCCTAGTAGCAGTGATGGGCGCTTGGTAAATACCCGGCGAGTAGGTATTTATAAAATGGGTATTTATCTGGGAATTTACATCGGCCCAGGGTAAATACCCAAACAGTACATATAAAAGTAAAAATATAACAGATTCGGACAAAAATGTAGAGGAACATGATGAAATGGGCGTTGGAGACGAGGAATTGTCAACGATCGAAGACGTATTATAATCAGGTAACCACTGCTCAGTCTTCATTCTTGCAACGATGATCCGCCCATTTCCACTTGAGCTTTGCCACAATATTGACCGCATCATTTACGCCAGTTCTTCTTCGTAGGTCTTCATTTCGTATGTGGTCCCTCAGGGTTACACCCAGCATCGACCTCTTCATCTTTCTTTGCGTTACTTTGAGCTTTTCCACCGTTAATGTTAAAGTTTCGGAACCGTACGTCATAACTAAAAGAAAAAGCACGCATTGATTGAAAGCTTTTGTTTTCAATATATACAGGAATATCGCTCATGAAGATGTCTCAAAGTTTCCTGTAGGCTGCCCATGCGAGTATCATCCTTCTGTTTAGTTCGCTTGTTTGATTATTATCTCTCGATACACGAACCTCGTGGCCAAGATATATCGCTGCGATGCGAACTGCTCAACTGAGATGAGTACTTTAAGAGCAATAGTGGAAAAGACAAGAAGAGATAGAGTTAGGAATAAAATTGTAAGAGAATTTTGTGGAATCGGAGATGTCATGAGATTTGCTAGGGGAAAAATAAAAAAATGTAATGAATACTTCCAATGGAAGAAACCTGGCTGATTAAGACAGCAAGAGATCAAAGATTAGCTAGAAAGAGATCCCGTGAGACCAGGAAGTT